TTATCAGTATACGTTTTTTTAACGTAGGTACATCTGATCATAAGGTCAAAAACACATTTCTTGCTTCATTTAAAATTTATTTTTTCTCCCTTATTATGCAAATTATGTACAAGTATGGTTTATACTTTAAAAAAGTCAATTTTGAATATTATTGAAATAGTTTTTCATAAAAAATGTACTTGAAAATATATGATTTTACCATAGCAATCATATTACAATCATTTTATGATATAGATATTTTTTAAATATTTAAAAACTAATAATTAGTAATATTATTGAAAATATTTATTCTCAACTTTGGTTTGGTCATTGGTTCTCGTAATGTTTTTTATTTAATCACCTGGTATCTTACTGGTCTACCCAGTACCATCTCCATCTGAGAAATGAGAATTAAATATTGCAAATAATTATAGAGTTTACGTCATTTAAAATTATAAGTACGCCTATATATATATATAGGTGCATATGACCGTTAACCCGAGTATCATCGTACATTTAGTGGGTCTACGCTAAGAAAAATTCATAGCTGATGTAAGCATCTGCTTATACTCCCCCCTCCCTATACCACCACCATAAGCTAAAATGCCTCAAGTAACCGGGGAGCGCTTTTGAGGTAAAAGTGTTCTAGTATTTTTTTTTATAAAGTTTATAAAATTAATTCTTTAAGTAAGATATATATTTTCTTATACCTATGTAATTTTACCTGAGAAATGTAAGTACCTACCTAATGAAATAAAAATAAATACGGTTAAATTGATTTTAACAACATAATATCTTATTTGAAAATGTCAATTTAAAAAGGAAGTTCATAAAATGTTGTTTTTAAAGTTTTGCATTATAATACACCACTAGTAATAGGCAGGTATATGTTCATAATATTATGTATTTCACGCTTGCCGTGTACATCATTGTATTAACCGGTAGTACTGCAGCATGTCGGCATGTTTACAGTTAAAACCTGTGTGTCACCGAGTTGTTCATTAAATCCCATTCAAACATTTCAAACCACCGCCGCCAACGCCGCGTAGTAGGTACCTATAGGAATAGGTACTTATTTAAAATATAGGAGCGTCTGTTTTCCGTTTTTATGTGGACATTGACATTTATTGTGTGCAGACGCATATACGCTGTACTTACATAAAATATCGTAACAAAACAATTTAACCATGTGCTCGGGGGCACGTGCATGTAGTTGTATAGGTATAGGTTTACAAGCTGACATAGTCACATATATGTTTATAGGCGCTATCTATAATCAGTAATAATATCTGTATACTAAAGCGATGTCGGTCATATTATTATATCCACGCAGGCTCAGTGTCAGAATTTTTTTTGTGGGCGGACGGTTTAAGCCGTTTAAGGCAAGTAGGTATATTACCTATGTACTATGTAGATTGTACATTCATTTTTAAGAAGGCACACCAAATGTTCAACCTTTAAAAACCAAATTTTTATAACCTGTATATGCTATGAACACATGATATTTATATTGTATACATAAAAATAGTTTGGTTGATGAATAAGAATTTATTGAATTTTAATTTAAGGTTTATAAAATAATTGTCTAGTTAGGTACTTTCAGCGATACGCCTTTTATATACAACTATATAGTATATACCGTATGTAAACCTGCAGAATGCCTACTCCATCGATGATAAGAAGAAGTTAAAGAGATGATGTGACTATAATAAAATAATAAAATGGATTTAGATATGAAAAAATAATTGCCATATCTTTTAACCACAGTTAACATACCGTGATTTTAACTGTGAGGAGATGGGTAGGCAAAAGAAGGGCAAGAGAGGTCTTGGGACGACGATTCCATCATTTTTTCCATGATGATACTCAGTAGTTACTGATTGCTAAAACTACGAGTACGGTGGCATAACCATAGAGAGATACCGAGGATGAGTGCGGATACTACGTTATCGACACCGCTAACATCCGTGGGATATTTGCCACCAAGATGATGGTCGATGGGTGAGGGGCTGTTTAAAGTCTTGCCCCGAGGCCCCAATTTAGCAGTTATGTCACCACGCACATATTTAAACTTAGTTAACAATAATACCATAAAATATAAATCATAATGTAGTCTCGATGAATACCTACGCATATATCGGGTTGAACGAAAAGTAGAGTACAACAGCTTATACTTAGGTATTAGTTATTATGTATACAATGCGTGCATGGAAACGTTTGGCCGACACTGAATGGCGGCCTTCGCGCACTTCCGGTTCCTCGGTCATCCGAAGACCGTTTACGAATGTAATTAAATTGTTGCTGTCGTCGTCATTACTATGTATAATATATGGTGGCCCACATAATATTTTTTTTTATATAGGCACCTTTACTAATTTTATTTGTTATATTATTATGTTATTACGCTGCTTGATATGAATCGTAGTCCGCGCCAAAAAAAAAATGCATACTCACACACACTGTAATGGCGGCGCCCATCGTTGTACGTTAAAATATATTGTGCGCTTGCATGTAGTTTTCAATGTCGTGTAATAGGCACAGCCAGGACGATATTATGAAACAAATAATAATTGTTGACTTTATTTGTTTTGTGAAAAAAACCTCTATAATATTATAGTATATACCTTTGTCCCTCATATATTATTTTATATATTATTATGATTAAGTCGTAATCATGAGTTGTGTAGGTAAAATTATTGAATTATTTATGTACCCGTATTATATTAAATACTTCATTTTATTGTATGTATGCCAAACACGATACATGTATCTACAATTATTGAGCCTCATCGTCGAAGTAAAACGTCCATTTGCAGTTCAGCTTATGCCTATATAATTAAAATGAGTATAAGCAGTACTTGATTTTTTTTTTTTGGGGGGGGGTATACCTCTTTTTCTGATGGTAAATATACTAACCAAAATATTTTTACTTTGTCCCAACGAAAAAAAAATGAACTTTTAACATTCCTTATAACTATAAAATACCGTGATAAAAATTTTGAAATGTTATCATATTATCATGCAAGATAGTTCATATCAACATTTATGGACTTTGTTTAATGCATTATTTATTGACCAATTTTAAGTTTTTACAAAATAATACATAAAAAAGTGTTTTTTAAAAATACATTTGTAAAACAAATTTTATATTGTTTTGGTGTACATTTTCTGGAGGGGGTGGAGGGGGGCTTCGCCCCCACGGTAATGCGATTGTTAATTTTGTGTGGGATTCTCTTTCATCCAACATGAAACTAAATACCCCTCCAATTTTTTTCCAAATGTAGCACTGAGTATAAGGTATAAGGCGCATAACTATAGGATTTGTAATAACCAATAATTATATTAAAATTTGAATAATGACATAATACTATAATAAAGGTAGGTACGTTTTCGTCTCACAATCCGTCTACATTTCAATTTTTAAATGTATAGAGAAATAGATATTAAATCGATGTACATATTTTGAATCTATTTAATGAAAACTATACGAAGTAATGTAAATATAATATATTATACATACTTTATATGAAATCCAAAAGAAATATCTGATTGCAAATTACATTTTTTAGATGATTATATGTTTGTTATATACAACGATAAAAATGTAAATTATCAGAATGTCAAGAGGTATCCATTCAAAGTAAAATTCATACGTGTGTGTTTTACGTTTTTTATATCATTTCGTATGTTATGTTTAAAATATCACATAGAGTCGCAAAATTAAACTGATTAAATTTGACAATAGAGTTTTTGATTAGTGTCTAATGTATGGTGTAGTATAGTGTACAACTACAATGTTATATACATTTATATATATATTTTTATATAGGTACTATTTTTAACTAAATTTAATTCACTATTATAATTCACTAGTCAAATAATAATATCTAAGTAGAAATAAGGTATCATTTAGATAAGATTTTATGAGTATTATATAATACATTTTTATATGAATATTAATCTCAAATAAACTAATAGATACGTTAGTTTAAACTTTAAACTAAAAATAATAATAATAAGTGATAAATAAGAAAAATAGAATAGAGTAATTATATTTTCTAATTGAAAATTCAAATTGTATTATTTTCGAAAATAAGTATTTAAAATTTTGGTTTTATGTATTTATGAACAAGGTTAATTTTTATTTTAACCACTTTAAAATAATTGAATGTTTTATATTTGATTATTTGTACCTACTGTTAAATTACTTTCATTAAGCTAACTGTACGTAATGATATAACTTGTTACCGATATAGTTATAATAGTTATTATTTATTAGCTTATTGAAAAGCAGAAGAACCGGTTAAAATATTTTTAAGAGTTAATATATTCAAAATAAGTTTTTTTTCTTAATTTTTTGTTGTTGTATGAATATTTATACTTTAATGTGTCGTTTAACCAAATAATAGATTTTAGTACTATACTACTAAATTCCCACGGTTTAACTAAACTTCAAACGTCTCATATTTCTTTTTTATAGCAACTCGTGGTTAATTTATTTTCATATTTATTACTATCATGTTTTTAATATTTATTTTAATATATTTTTAATATTTACCTTTAAAAGTTATAAGTAGGGCACGAATGTTGTAGTAATAAATAACTAGTTAAATTGATTCCAGTATTGCACTAAAAAATATAGAAAATTGCATATAAAAATTTAAAAATTGCACTAATCAAGTAATAACAATGTTTTGTTATGAACGACGATTTTTTTATAAAGAAAACTCTTAATTTTAGTATATAATAATATCATAAAAACTTTGTATTATAAAATTTAAAAATTATACATTATTATGTTAATATTAAATATTAAATAAATTATTGGGCAAACATTACAATAGTGTGATGATTACTAAGTATAATTTTTCAAAGCGTACTTTACATAAAAATAAATAATGAAATATAGGAAATGTATTTTTTTTTTTTTTTTGACAGTCGTAGAACAATATTATCGAGATTTTATAATATTTCAGCAATTTTCTATGATACATTACAAATATTGTTTATATTTTGTACAGATTGCAGTGGCTGGGATATTCATTATGCCGGTCTTGGATTAGATGCGCTACAGCTGGAAAATATTTGACTACCATAACACTGTTTGTTTTCTTCCAAACAGCGTCACAGAGATACTTTTTTTCGACGTTGGAATCGAGAAGTTATAATATACCTAAAGATATATCAAGTGTGTATAATAAATAATATTTAACCATTAATCATATGCGGAAGCAACGGTTTTCTAACAGATTGTTTAATTACCTATACGTGCATTTTATGTAACCTAGATTGGCTGTGGATTCTCAGTGGATTTGTTCATTTGACGCTGTCAACATTCATTGGATACCGAGGAGGTAAACGCAACAAGAATTCATGGATTGCATTTTTTGGGATCGTGCAAGGAATTTTGGCTGTCTTACTGGCGATGATCAATGCGTCCGATCATTACAGCTTTCAACGACCATCAGCTTTAGTCTTGGCTACATTAGGAGGTAATATAATAATAAACGTACCTATATTATGATTCATAATGCAACGGATTATTAATTATTTAAATCGACCTAACACAAACTCTCAATGCATGTTCTTGTTCTAAAGATACGCCGTTATGCGACTCTATACACGGCGCTCACGTAAAGGAACCATACGTTCCTTTTCACTTGGTGAAAACTGCAGTGTTGTTTTTGCTCCAAGTCAGCATGTCACTAGGAAGCACAGCCCTATTGGCTCTGGGCCTCGGTCTACTTGACGAATCAGTGGCCCCAACCAAAATACCGGCTTGCATAGGCGTAGTCGTCGGTTCGTCACTTCTGGGACTTCAAACGGGGTTGATGGTGGGGAAATTTGCATTCCACATGAGCTCAGAGTTCAACTTGGCTGGTGACATCGTTTGGCTCAGTAAGTCTCGAATACATTGTGTGCACTATGTACATCGGCTTGAATCCCATAGCGCTTTTTGTATAAAAACCTGTAATTTATTTCAACAGTTATTGGTCTGATACTGATCTTTGTGTCTTTCATCGTGGCTCTATATCCAAGCAGACTGGTCACGAGCCGTGCTTCCACGTTAATACGAAACAGCCCAATTTATCGAAACAACAGATACGGTACGTGATACATTGTAATTTAAAATTTGGGTCGAATTCCGACATTAACTCGTTCGCATATTTTAATAGATTTCAGGAGCACTCTTGGAAGAATTTTCAGTAACAAATTAATTTTATCCAATATTGCTGCCATCGCTTGTGTGTACACAGTATTAATCAATATGTTGTACGAAGAACCAAATTATATGGAATCAGTATTTTTCGTGCCCAAGCACACAACTGATGCAACTGATCAAAATACCATAATCATTGGTTTGTAAACGCAATATTTATACCTGATATTTTTTATTCATCAAATTATAGAAAAATCAATAATGTAATCGGTATTAATCATTTCGCTCTTAAATTCTTATTATTTTTAGCGATTTATAGAATAGTTGTATTTTCAAAATCGCGTCGAAATTCCTAACACGCAATGTATGCGTAATATTGTAATAATAATTGTGCAACATGTTCATATTTTAGATTTTTTGAGATATCCTTTGGCAGCGGTATGCGTGTTTTTATCTGGCGTGTTAATATGCATTACACAACCAAGAGCTACGTTGTTAGCCGCCTGGAACATTGGCATCATTTGTGTTGTGACTATATTAGTCTTCACCAGTATGTTCCTCCGGTGTTCTAAAATACAAGTACACAACCAAATAACACACAAGTAAGAATCGGCTTGAAAACTAAAAAAATAACAATTATCACCAGATGAAATTTACAAGTGTTTCCCGTTGTTGAATGTATTTATAGGTCCGAATTAAACGAATTTTGCAATAAGGATTGCAATTGTCCAGACAATATTCCATTTGAACCGGTTTGTTCGTCCAACAGCCATATAGTCTATTACTCACCCTGTCACGCTGGTTGCAGGACTCAGGATCTGTATTCCAGACAGGTGTGCATAATCAAATCATAATTCATATTAACAAACGCTGTACGAAAATAAATTATAAATTTTACAATCTGTTCGCATTGCAGGAGTACGTTGGGTGTGCTTGCGTCCAAACTGAATCAGCCAGCAAGCGCGCTTGTTATGATCATAACTGCCACCAAATGAACGTCGGGTATCAATCAATTTCAGTGTTGATCCTGTCGTTATTGGGAACATGTATAGTTGGCACAATCATTTTACTGCTCAGGTAATAATTTAGATGAAATTATAAATTTATACATTGTATGTATACTCAAGTCAGTGGTCCATTTAATATGCCTAAAGGCTAAATTAATTTGTTCAAGTCAACTTTTGTGTTTGACAGATATTATTAATAGATAATATTATAGTTATCGAATAATATTTTATGTACCTAGCACGCATACCCGTCAACGATATTTTTATTTGTTATCACACTGATTTCCCTCTTACGTTTCTAGAAGCGTTGAACCTGATGATCGTACCACAGCTTTGGGATTTGCAGTGACTTTCATTTGTTTGATGGGACATGTTCCAGGAAAAATACTTTACCTATTTGTTGGGCGTACGTAATAAATTATGGATCTACAAACTATTTTACTTTTACATGATATACTTGATTTTATGTTGTTCTAAGAGTAAAGACAACACATGATAATATTATATAGTTAAATCGTTTTTTGTTTTCAGATGTAACGTGTATTTTGTATGACAGCAACGATCAATGCCGGCTAAATGGTGCGGCAACGTTTTCCACCTACCTTAGTCTGTCCAACATAAGTAAGCGTAATAACCTACCTACAGGCTACGACTGTGGCATGTAAATTGCAAATATTGCTAATGCATTTTAATTCGTATAAACTTGTTCACAGGTATACTCATGACAGCGGCAGCGCTCTATGCATGCGTGTGTTTAATGTCAAGGCCAATGCGTCCATATGGAACTTCGGATTCTGCGAAAAAATTTATCGTTAGCTCAGTATCGAGTCCGTTAAGTCCATTAACTCCGCCTGGGTTTGAAGAACGAGCTCCCACGCCAACCAGAAAGCCACCGAAGAGAAGACCATCTGATTTAACGTTTTCTGCTTCGAACACCAATATTGATTTCACCAGACATACTGATGACTATTCACCTAGGAGTCCCGGAACAACGCTCAGAGAAGGAGGGGTCTTAACTACATTACTGTAAACTTTCATAAAATAATACACACACGTGAACTATGAACAAGATATTATGTGATCTAAACATCCTATGGCTCAGGTCGATCATGGATACCTATAGATATACACTATACAGCCATGGAGGTATATAATATATTATATGTATTATACTACAGATGCCTCAGTAAGCGTAAACAAAATCAAAATTACACGCGCCATACTATTTAATTTAAAAATGTATTACGTACCAATCTAGTCTATGGCTTATGATGTTTAATGGGGGATATATTTTGGTTCTAACTCCTAATTTATTAAACCTTATAATATAAAACTGTGTTTGAAAAAAATTATAAAGATAATGGAACTTTTATATATGTACTTACTTAATAAAAAGTTGTATTGATGGTACGAGAATAATCAAATCTAATTATAATTTTAAATTATAACGGTGTGCCCATAATAGAATAGTAAATTAATAGTAGTAATGTATAATATTCATGTTTTAATTAGTAAATTACGAATTTAATTGTACTCAAAGTTATATAATTATTAATTTGTAACGATAAATGACTAACGATTGACATTTGGTCGTAACCACTGCAGGCGTTTGTGTGAATGTATGTTTATTTATAATGTTTTTATACATAATAATATATCGTGGAATTTATTTTGTTTTAAGTTAATTCCATGTAGTAGGTATAGTTACAGAATCAAATAGGTATTTTCATTATTAATGTTATCATGTATCTACATAATTAGCTGACTAACTATAATTTATGATGTATAAACATAATTACTGGCTGCATTGTTAAAATCCACCTTAAAAATTGTTAATAATATTATTGGTAATAATTTTTATTTACCATGTATAAACTTATTAATTCACATTGAATTATAACTTATGCCTAATTAATGAATATTTTGTTAAATAAAAAATAATTTTATTTTAAATTTGGTAGATTATGAATGCATTAAGTATGACCTATGAAGATGAATGACAATTATTATAATATATTAGATACAATTAAAATTTTTCACAACAAATTACTAAATATTTTTTTCTTAGGCAATGTAGTTTATTAAAAACTATATGATAAATACTATAAGAATATTTGAATATATTTCTTCTAGAATTTGTCATAGTATAGGTAACCTCCCAGTGATTGTTTTGTAATTAAGATTTAAGGATTAAGGATTTCAATTCAATGTTTTTGAAGGGTTAATAAAAGACTTTCCTTGTTAATACTAGATAGTTTAATAGGATGAGTAGATGGGTAGATAGGTAGTAGCCAGTAGGTAACCGTTACCTACATCAAGTTTGAACATAATAATTTTTAAACGCTTTTTAGACTCATAAAATGTATATTTCAATTTGTGTTCACATTTGTACACATGTATCATTAATTATTACTTATTCTTAATCGTTCCTGGTAATATAACTAACAAGGTGTACTGTACTCAATGTATATTTAATATTTATATTATAACATATTAGGTAAAAAAAGTTGGTATGATTTATAAGCATCACGTAAATTTTCATAATTTCATATTATATAGGTACGAAATTTTAAATAATACTGACTCAATATTTGGCATAAAGATAATAGCATTAACCAATAATGTCAATATATCATTATAATCATTATTTTGTTATTTTTGCATTAGTGATAAGCCTAACTGCTTTAACAGTATTACCAATAAATAAATCGTTTTAAAACCATTAAGCACCTACTGAAAATTACATTAGTTTTGTATGATAGAAAGTTTTGGAAAAATTAATCATTAGGTTCCGCAATAATTTAGTATGTACGAGTAAGTATTATATATCCAAACCTGTTTATTTTATTAAATTATTCTTTCCATAATAAATATTTACTAAATTGTATTTTCGTTACACAAGGATTCGCGTAGCAAAACATTTATTAATGTTGTCAAGTTTGTACGTTTCTAGTCAGTAGTTTTTTTTTATAACTCATAATTGATACTTTCTTTGTCATAATACATTTTATATTATATAGTTATTAAACAATATAATCATTATAATTATATGACAAAATTATAAAAATTAAATTATATTTTCCCAAACATGTAATTATCTTCACATGTGTTATTTTAATAATTATAGTTTACGGTTTACCTAAATATAAATAATAGATTTATATAATTCATTCTAAATTAAATTTTAAAGAATTACCGAGAAGAAAATGTAAATTTAATGTTTATGGGTTTATTAATGATGTTTACCTACTTCTTGTTATTGTCTACTTGTTTAAAAATATAAAAAAATATAATTTTATTTTGCTCTATTTTTTTTAAATACGTTTTGTTGTGTAAAGTATTACTGGTAACATGTTCAGTGGAGCCCATAAATAAATCTTATCGAACAATTTGAAACTGAATAACTTGACTATTTTTGATGTTTGATACGATATGATATTTGTCGACATAGATCTTGTAAGCAGTTTGAAATTGTAGTTGAAAAGAAATTAGCAACAATTACAACCACTTTGGTGATAGGACTTTTTATTTTAATTTTATTGAAATTGTTACTTGTTATTGAAATTAAAAAAATGGAAAGATACAAAATATAAATATGGTGAAGTACTACCCACCGACGAGCATATGACAAAAGTTATTTTAAAAGACTCTCTGAGTAAACTTAAGCGTGGTAACTTTCTGTTACATGATTACTATATTTATAAGCATTTAAGGTTTAAATGTAGACAATATTTATCAATAACACGAAAATATTATTCCTGGGTACGTGAAACTTTAGAAATATATTATTATATTTTATAGATACACACGATGATATTAAATGCAAAAATGTATTGAACTTACTGTATTACTGATAGGTAGTAAAATAAATTATTTTAGGTATAGGTAAAGCAATTGTATTATAAAATATTCTTAATCACACAGGCTACTAGTCATATAGACCTACTTTGCTCAAAAAAGGGGTACCCGAGTACCCCGCCCTTCCTTTTGATTTGTGGTTTTAAAGTTTTAAACTGACTTTTTCAGATTCATAATAAATATTAATATAATACATTGTCTGAGCTATTTTAGTATTTTTGAAGCCACTCATCGCTTTATTTTGACAAACCTGGACAGTGGACATTGGAAGAAAAGAATTCCTAATGATTACAAAAAAATATTCTTCATATAAAATACATATTAATGTATTCCCTTTTTTATTTTGAGATCGTAAATAAACGATAGTATAAATTGTTTTTAGAAAATAAATTATAATTTATAAAACCAATGTTAAAATTAACCCCACCCTCTCTTTAACCATCACAAAAATAAATACTTTGTAATTTTAGCCATAATTTTAGGTACTTCCACAAAAATAATTTTAATGTTTATGTGCACGAGTGGATGACAGATGACAATAAATGAATAGACACTACCCATTATTTTGGTCCCTTTATATTACATTTTTAACTAGGCAACCAAATATGCTAATACTAAATAATATGTTTCGTAAACTCTGTATATTTTATGTATAACCATTTACAAGGGGTTTTATATAGGCCATTTTAATACAATCAGATGATAAATGCAAAACGAACAATATTTCAAGATACTAGTTGGGTCCTGGTTTTTTACAGGTATTAATGTACTACACTGGTTGGATTTCCAATTATTTTAGGTATTACACCATATTTGGTTCCCTAATCTTTTTGGTGAGTACTACACTATACTAACATTTGCCTTCCCATTTTAACAGACGTAGGCCTGTATACGATCTATTTAGACCAAGGTATGGTTAAAAATGTTTTTATAGTTTCTGTTTTTGGTTTCTTTGCCATTAAAAATATAAATTATTATATTTTTACATACAATGATATAATAAAAATATTTTTGATTAATTATTTGGTTTATTTATTTATTTTTATTTTTTCTTTATTATTTGAGACCCAACTCGGATACGCCGTTATAACGTATAACCTACCCTCCAGGTAGTACTCAATAGACCCGGGAAGATTTACAATCGCCCTACAGGTCAGAACAATATGTTCCACGTTTTTATACTTTACAAAAATATTTCAGTGTATGAATCAGTTCTCGAATACATGATCATAGAGAGATCCGAACATCTCGATAAGGATATGAAGCTTAACTCTCGGCTTATTCCATTTTTATATGATTAAGACTTAAGCTTGACATTTTGACGTCATTACGAATGATGTGTAAGCCTTTTTCTCATCTTTGTACCGATATATTTATGGTCGTACCCATACATTGAAGCCATTTGCAGTGCAGGTGTCTTTGGACGGTATCATGTGTCTTAAGTTACTAAGCGATGCAACAGACCGACTTTTTCGTTCTTCCAAAACAAATGGCTGTCGATATTTGTACCTATAAATGATAATATTTTCCAGGTAAGGGGAATAGTTGGTTAGCTCACCGTAAGAACTTGTCTTGAGAACTGGGTTGTTGGACTGCAGGTTATAAATAAATTTCTATATTCAACAGGCCCTATAGAAACTTGTGACCTGCATTCGAGCTAACACAATTGAACACGAATAGCAAAGTATATATAGATTTATTTAACGTCTGAAATAGTATTGAAATAAAACAGTACATTATCATTCGAGTAAACCTGTACTCGAGGGTGGTATATAGTAAAGATGACAGAGGCCAGTTGTAGCAGAGTAGAACGATTAAATGTATTATTATGTGATGGCGAGGTGTATTGTGATTTATCTATGAGGTATGTTACTATTAAACCTAAAACAAATCGATTCAAAATTATATTATGTTAAAAATATGTGGAGTTGACTGGTGTTATGACTATAGTGTCAACTCCGCAATCAAAATTCAACTACTGACTATGCAAAAATATAATATATATACTCTCATTACTCGCCACACTACTCTTCTTGTGTTCTATTAACGTAAGCAAATTCACCAAGTAACACATACACGGCCAAACGGTAATCTGTAAACCGTTATAGAAGTTCATGAACTACTTACCAAAATACAGTATGTATATGTCGTTCTTTCGCTAAAACGATGTAAAAGTCACACGGTTAACATGATCATCTATTATGCATATCGCATGTCGAAGCTATGTAACCATTATAACTACTAAGCTTCGGTTGAAATTTGCAAGGTAACTTCGACATAATGGAGAAAACTCGCTCTATTGAATTTGAATTTTTCTTAAGATTTTTGACACCTAAGCTCTGAATGGACCAAGCGATAAATGATTATGTTCATTCATTAGTACAGTATAAATACAACGAATATCCCATATATATGCAACATAATCGGCAGGGTTATTTGTCGAGCAAAAATGTTACAGGTGTAGAGTGTATATATATATACCCGGTACAAATGGTGTGGTGTGATTTTTATCGATCAAATAATTATTAATTAAGAGACAGGGTGACAAATCAGAAACAGTCTGTTATACCCTAGAGCCAAGGTAAAACTTTTGCGTACCAATGGGTGGATGGAATAGCACCACTATAGGCACGACCACTTTTTTCATTTCCTTATATAAATATGTAATGAATATACCTACTTATATACGTACAAACATAAATAAGTGTATAATGTATTATGTATATTGTTTATTTATATTCATTCCTATATTTCATTTCATTTTTAAATGCCTTTTTCTCACTTAAATAGGTAATTGATTAAATGAGATATATTTAACCATACTGAGATTGAGATACTTCAGATAAAGGTTATTTTTTTTTTTTCATTTTTTATATAGGCTTAAAGTAACATGGATACAAAGTGGGGACTTTGAAGACTCAAAAAATAGAAATAGAAATGGAAAAAAAGAAATAAAAAGAAATAGAAAATGAATTTTAAAAATTAAACTACATTTATATAAGTGAAATAACTCGGTTGGTTAATAAGGTAAATTTTTTTTGAAAATAAATGAAATTTTATAAAGTTGTGACTTGTGAGTCAAGCTTAAAATAAATAACCTTTACCTCGCTCTAAAAATCATTAAACAATTGCATACTTACCAATTAATATACTTGGTTGAAATAAATATACAATATTTATATTTATATTTTGTACATATTTTTATAAACTTAAGCTTAAAAATATTTAAATAAGTAGTAAACATAAAAAGATGTTGTTATTATAAATATTATGAACCTAGTTGGCAGTCGTAAA